TTATTGAGAGCTGCTTCAGGTCATATGGACAAATAAGGGAGCAAATAAAAGAGTCCTGGAAGCATTTGATTCACTGCATTGTATGTTTTCTTCGTCCATTAACACAAGGCCAAGCTTCAGAATCACTTCACTGATGGTTAAACAAATTTAATAATCTTCTTTCACCTCATTCCCAGTAACGCACAGACACACTTACTCCATTATTTTTCTTTCCTTAATAATTCAGTGGAAGCAAAATTGCCGCTTGTCAGATGCAAAACAGGTTTTCATTAGCTCTTCCCAAAACGTACATGTAGTTATCTCTGGTGCCTAGCAGTTCCCGCAAACAGGAACCAACGAACATAATATCCTGATTGACCTTCCTGCACCCTTAGAAAAGAATACTGGTGATATAGTGATCTGTCCATTAATAGATAAACGTCTTGGTCTCAGTAACAATTTCACAGTGGCTCTTTTTTAAAAGCAATTTGTCGTAACATGGCAGCCCTTTTTTCTTCCGCTCATTGTGATTCGCATGCAAGAGGAACAGTATCTGGCTGAACCGACTCACTGTCATGGCATCGGATGCAGGAGTTTACCTTGTCTGTAGAGACTAACAAGAGACTAGACATTCTCCTGTTGGGTACGATGGACAGCAGACCCCCCCCCCCTCTCGTCCCAAAAACAAACAAACAAACAAAACAAACAAACAAAAAACTCTATCGTGGTGACTGCTCTGATCACATCAGCGTCCACTGATGACAACTTCCTTCGTCTTACTTTCATCTGATGCCAAATGTTCCACATAAATAGACAAAGTATTGCAATGGCTAAGGATAGTGTCAATAAAATGAGCCCAATCCTGATAAAAATAGAAATATCTCAATGACTTCCAAAATGAACGTTCTGAAATGCTATGTAAGGTCAACCCTTTTATATGACTGTGAATGCTGGACCATCACTAAAGACAGTGAAAATAAAATAGAAGCACCAGAAATGTGGTTTCTTAGGAGACTGCCGAGAATATCTTGGAAGGAAAAGAAATCAAATTATGATGTAGTACTCGAAAAAGCCCATCTGGGACTCTCACTGATAAAAGCAATCAGGAAAGTTGAAGTTTTGAGACACCTGAATAGAGAGACATCAAGTCTTGGATATCTATCTCTCAATGGCAAAATGGAAGGCAAATGATGCAGGGATGGGCCCTAAGCAACCTACTTGGAGAACCTAAACACATGGGTAACGGAGAAAGATAAGGGAAATTCTGCTTTTTAAAGAGCATCCGAGCAAAGAAATGAATGGAGAACCATGATCGCCGAAGTCTGTCGCAGATATACCATTTGATGACATAATATTATCATTATCCCCACCACCCCCACCACCACCACCACCTCAACCATCATCATCCATCATCATCATCATCATCATCATCATCATCATCATCATCATCATCATCATCACAATTCTTTTAAAATCAATCCTTATTATTGCTACTACTAACACAACTACTGTTATGATCAGACAAAAAACAACAATTAAACAGTTTTAAAAATTTGTGAAATATTAAGAAATGAATTTAAAAAACCCAACCCAGATCACCTTTCAAACTCATCCATGAATTTATATTCAATATTTAATTTTCAAGGGCCTCTCTCTATAAGTATACGTTCTATAGTTTTCCCATGTATTAGGAGCATGCAGTGGTGTTAACGTTCTTAATTTTTCTTCTTTTTGAGCAGTGATACAACATTGTTATTGTTTTTTTCTCTATGTATACAAAGTGGTATAGTACATGTGTTGTGCATTAGGTACTGTGTAGTGTGTTAACTTACGTAATATGCATGCCGTTGTAATATATATTTCTCAACGGAAATGAACTGATATGATATTTTCTTTTTTCTCTTTACTTTACTTTTTTCTTTTTTTCCCCTTTCTTTTCTATTCTAGCCTTTTCTTTTTTTTAAAGGGAGGTATGGCTTTCAAAAGCTGTCCCTTAATAAGAGTTGACCACATTTAAGACAGATCTAAAGAAAAATTTATTCAAATCATATTTGCAACTTATTTTGTTGCTTCGTTCAACAACAGATGTGATCAGCAGCCTCGGTGATGGTCTATTGGTCTTTTTGTGCACACGTTCTTTCGTCAGAATCTAGTAAGGAATAACCCTCCCCCCCCCCCTGCTTATTAATTTTCAGTTTTTTTGGCTGGTTGGCTACTTCAATTTTGTGCATTAAAAACGACAATTGCGCTTTAGTTTACATTTTTAAATGAAACTAGTTTGTTCCTAAATGGGAAAAGGTGTCACAGTAACTTACTAACGTCACAAAAATTTCTCCATCTCTTGTTCTTATATTCACTGAAGGAGAAATAAAACAGATTTGTTCCTACTGGTACAGGAGTCTGAGGTTGAATGTACCAGACCCCCTCCCATTTCCCCCTCCAATTAATCAATTTTGGACCACTTGTCTAGCCCCCCCCCCAACTTAT